GTCATCTAGAAAGATATTTAAAAAAAAAAATCAGGGTAAAGGATTAAGAAAATAATAAGGGTTAACGTAATGCTAATGCAAATACTGCCACTATGGTATGAAGTTAACGTAGTGCTAATGCAAATACTGCCACTATGGTATGAAGTTAACGTAGTGCTAATGCTAATACTGCCATTATGGTATGAAGTTAACGTAGTGCTAATGCAAATACTGCCACTATGGTATGAAGTTAACGTAGTGCTAATGCAAATACTGCCATTATGGTATGAAGTTAAAGTAGTGCTAATGCAAATACTGCCACTATGGTATGAAATTAACGTAGTGCTAATGCAAATACTGCCACTATGGTATGAAGTTAACGTAGTGCTAATGCAAATACTGCCACTATGGTGTGAAGTTAACGTAGTGCTAATGCAAATACTGCTACTATGGTATGAAGTATCAGGTATTCATAATTCTAGGTTTATGTTGAGAACTGCACATTCAGAAAATGACCGGTTGCCACAAAATTGTTCAGTATTGAATGTCCGGATGCTGATCTGTCATGACTGCAGCTTCCATGATTCTCGTGGACCTTTTGTGCTGCCACTTCTGGCGGCTGCCTTATGCATTTAATGAGTTTGTATGCCGTTGGCACCGCAGCGACTGCATTCTGTTTCAATGTGTGTGTACAACAAAAATAAGGACAGCGAAAGGCTTTCTGAAGGGTTCTTGCTGGCATAGTAACAGACCAATTATAGGGTAACCTGTCTGTTATAAAGCTGAAGCTGCAACTATCTTTAACTAACTAACTAACTAACTAACTAACTAACTAACTAACTAACTAACTAACTAACTAACTAACTAACTAACTAACTAACTAACTAACTAACTAAAAAACTAACCCCAAAAAAAAAAATAACTAGCTAACCGAGTAACTAACTAATTACTTAATCATTTAAGTAATTAACTAGCTACCTAACTACATAACCAACTAATCACTTAACTAACTAACCAAATACCTAACTAACTAACTAACTAAACTAACCAACTAACAAACCAACTGACTGATTGACTAACAAACCAACTAACTAACTAGCCAGCTATCTGACTGACCGACTAAGTCACACACCGTCTCTACATAAGTTCCCTTCTCTGTTCAGAAAAATATCTGTGCAGACAGTGATCTGTTCCTGTCTCTAACTTGTATCTAAAACGATGCAAAACGATATTCACCCGTGTCCAAGTGTGGGCCAAGGACCTGTCTGGGTTGGGCTAGAACAGACACTCCCCCCCCCCCCCCCAACAAGCATGTCGAAAAATTTGACAAATCAGAGGTGTTTCCCTCGAAATCAAAGTGCATTTGCCTGAGAGCGAGGAAAGAAGTCTGCATTAAAATCAGCCACATGTCTTGGTCTTAGACGAGGTTTCAACGTTATTGCAATCAAGTTACCCCTTGCTTGCTCCGTTTCTGTGCCAGTGCAAACCAAAATTCCCTCACTGTCGCATTTGAAAAACTGGTGAACAAACAATTAGTCCCGGAGCAATCCAGAAATATGTTCACGCAGTAAATAAATACTGCAGTTGCTTGAGGCGCCAAAGCCAGCAGTCGCCACAAGAAAAGCAGTTTGTCATTGATGGAAGTAGTCGGCCCGATAAGTTGGCTATATACACGCACATAAGGTATTTCACCAGCTCACACATAAACCACATGTGTAAAACATATGTGCCTGCGAAACTGGAAAGTTCAGGAATAATACTAAAGTTCTGCATAAGAGCCCCGCGATATTAACCGAACGGCTTCTTTTACCTAAAGACAAACCTTTTATAGGATCTACTAGGCGAGAGGCAAAGAAAGACAAAGAAAGATACAGTGAAAAATGTAATTATCTCAGCAACATACAATAAGATTTAAAAAAATAACATTCGTTAAAATATCACAGATACAATCAACACGTCCAAAGTTAACACCTGTAGCTATAAATATATAGGTTTAATTCTCTGTCTTGTATAACAATATGTAATAAAGGTCCTTAAGTTACAGCACGAAGTAGGACCATATACCCTCATCGACACTCGAAGTGGTAAAAGAGGACATAAATAAGAAGAGGAAAAAGAAGAAAAGGAAGAAGAAAAAGATTCTCCGTCTTCTCCTTCCTCTCATATTCTCCCCCTCCCCTTCTTCATCTGCCCTTTATCTCCTAAAGCAGCACAGGCCCCGATCCACTCAAGTCAAGTTATTCTACGTTTTGGTATTTATTCAATATTGTCTTAGCCTCTCTCCCCCTCCCCCCTTTCTCTCATTCTCTCTCTCTTCTCTCTCTCTCTCTCTCTCTCTCTCTCTCTCTCTCTCTCTCTATATATATATATATATATATATATATATATATATATATATATATATATATATATTTTCTTTTTCTTTTTCTTTTTCACCCATGTGTTTTTTTACTGCACATAATGTTTTTTAAACTATAATATCTATGCCCTGGCAGCCACAATGTATATTAAAATAAATCATAAAGTCATAAACTGTGTGATCAGAACAGGCCGGTTTTCATGTGATAATGTTGATTCGGCACATGCACCAAATAAGCATAAATATTTGAAGATGGCCGGCCTATGGATCACGCTGACATTGTCATTAGAGAGATAGGACGTTCTGAGGGTTCTGGAAGCAATGTGTCCACATCACTGCTAAGAATACGCGAATTGGGAGTAAAGATCGGCACAGCCTAGCATTAGAAGCACACCGGAGGCACACGAAGTCTTGTTAACCAACATAGGACTGGTACTATTAATCGCACGATGCTGATGAATATGTTGAGAGAGGAATCTGAGCGCCTATGGATGTGTCCGGAGTGCTGTGAAGATAAATTTACTCATAACTCAAGGATAATTCGGAAACAGACCCGACACAGAAGGTTACTGCAAAGAGGCTTTAACAGTTAGTTGTGTATCCTTTTAAGGACATTGCAGAACCAATCCCGACTTGTGTGGGGAAAAGGGGGGGGGGGGGGCTTAAATAGTTTTTCCAGTCACGTTTTATGTTCAGTAGTTTGCATTTCTTTGAACCGTCAGCTCTCGGAACCACTGTCGAAACCAGCGCAAGACAAATCGTCAGCAAATCTATATACCCAAGGCGCCTAAAGACGTGGAAAACGGTCCAGTGCTTTACTTTTTGAAACTGAAAAATACCGTTTTGGGCACAGATACTTGTGGGTAGGATTCTAATTATACTTAGCCGGCATGGGTGGAATTGGGCAAGCATGCATTGCAGAATCAAAAATTCAACTGATTCATGATAATTCCCGTCCAGGTGGGTGAAGTCATTATCTATACAGACACCTGACACCAACGACTGATTCATGATAATTCCCGTCCAGGTGGGTGAAGTCATTATCTATACAGACACCTGACACCAACAACTGATTTATGATAATTCCAGGTCCAGGTAGGTGAAGTCATTATCTATACAGACACTTGACATCAACAACTGATTCATGATGATTCTAGGTCCAGGTAGGTGAAGTCATTATCTATACAGACACTTGACACCAACAACTGATTCATGATGATTCTAGGTCCAGGTGGGTGAAGTCATTATCTATACAGACACTTGACATCAACAACTGATTCATGATAATTCCCGTCCAGGTGGGTGAAGTCATTATCTATCACTTGACATCAACAACTGATTCATGATAATTCCCGTCCAGGTGGGTGAAGTCATTATCTATACACACACTTGACATCAACAACTGATTCATGATAATTCTCGTTCAGGTGGGTGAAGTCATATCTATACATACACATGACATCAACAACTGATTCATGATAATTTCTATCCAGGTGGGTGAAGTAATTATCTATACATACATTTGACATCAACAACTGATTCATGATAATTCCCGTCCAGGTAAGGGAAGTCATTATCTATACATACATTTGACATCAACAACTGATTCATGATAATTCCCGTCCAGGTAAGTGAAGTCATTATCTATACATACATTTGACATCAACAACTGATTCATGATAATTCCCGTCCAGGTAAGTGAAGTCATTATCTATACATACACTTAACACTGTTTTCTTCTTCTTCGCGACATTCACCAGTTTGAAGCTTTAGTGGAGAGCTCTGGCTGTTGTCACATAAGAGATTTGAATTTCCATCTGAACTGCCGCCCTAAGGATGGATAACTTAAAAAAAAGGAGATATGTTTATATATATATATATATATATATATATATATATATATATATATATATATATATATATATATATATATATATATATCTGCTTTAGCTAGATATTTTCCCAGGTGTCTACATTTTCTTTCTGCACTGGGTCCCACCTACCATCTTGTCCAGAAACAGGAATTGATGTCTGCTTATATAACATTATCCTGGGACAAAACCCTTAGATAAAATATAATAGAGCCACTCAATCAAATTAGGCATTCCTGATTCAAGGAGTGATGGCTCTCTTTTGAGTCTTTTTCTCTCCGAAAAAGATCGGTGACATCTATTTGATATTGCTTGTAACATTTGTTGGAGTGTGAGACAGGACAGACAGATATATATATATATATATATATATATATATATATATATATATATATATATATATATATATATATATATATATATATATATATATATATATATATATATATATATATATATATATATATATATATATATATATATATATATATATATATATATATATATATTATATATATATATATATATATATATATATATATATATATATATATATATAGAGAGAGAGAGAGAGAGAGAGAGAGAGAGAGAGTGAGAGAGAAAGAGAGAACGAACGAAAGTAATTTTTAAAGGAAAAAGAATTGGGCAAGCAAGCTGGTCTACCATTCTGCCCTTTTATTCTCCATCCTTTCATTCATCATTTCATTCATAGATCAAATAAAAGTAAATAAACATTATCAACAGCATCAAAATATTCAATAACGAGAGAGAGCGCGAACATTTGTCCTCAG